GGTAAAAGACTGTCGTAAGCGCAATTTTGACGATTTTTAGTTTTAGACGCAGTTATACATTTTGAAATAAGGTCTTTCGATTGGTGTTATCAGTTTTTAGATATCTCCTTAAGTTTCCGAGATATCGACTACAATTTTTTCGATAACTTAGTAAAAATTTAGTTAGTGATGCAGTTATATTAGACTAATCAATATTTTAAAATGACGTTCTCCATTTTTGATATCTCCTACAGCTTCTCAGAAATTGAGTAAAAAGTGCCGTTGATTTAGTAGAAAATTTGATCACATTTTGTCGTATTTCATACAAAGTGGCTGTCAAATTATGGCCAAATGACGCTTACGACAAAATTTTACAAAAGAAAATCCTTCATAAACTCAAAACTAATTAACAATAAATATTGAAAATAAAATAATTTAAAAATTTTGTGAACCAGTAACATTTTCAGGAACTTTGGAGTAAAAATATATCATCGCGTTTTTAAGAAATTGCATTCCAAACTTCAATCGCGATTTCCCACAACCTGCCGAAATTAACATACGACAATCTTTTACCCAGGCGAGGAAGTGTTGATTTCAAAATAAAGAGGGGTATATTTTTTCGTTATAGAACAGTACATACTAGGGGGCGAGAGCATTAAAGCGACTTTACTTTTTTAGATCACCCTATTGTGCACCCTGAGGACCTTGATGGTTGGCTGGGAAACAAGACATTTTGTTATGATGAGGATATGTATGTATGTATGTGTGTACATTAGACAACGTAAAAAAAAGCCTGCAATGCGACCGGAATAAAATTCAAATTTTAGCATTTGGTGTAGTAATGATTCTCCATGAATCTCGCCTCTCTAGGTCAATTGTAGGAGGTGGCGCCGCGAGGCTTTATTTTTCCCATAGGAATTACACTTAAGAATATGAGTTCTTTCCTTTTGAGGTCAATATAATTTTCTAGGATCAATGAAAACGCTCCAAACTGTAAGAATATATTGATTTAAATTCCTAAATAATCCTTTTTTAATCCATTGTCCTATTTGGGTCTAATTTAGTATATACCATAATTTTTTTTTTGTCCAGCTAAGAAATTGTTTTTTAATATTCACCTGTCCTTCGAGTCCACGCGAAGAATACACCTGTGGCTCCGATAAAAATCCCCAATCGTTAAGGCCCTTCTGCTGGAAAGTGGCTAGTAAAGGAATTTTGCTCAACAATCCAAATGAGTCGCCTGCCTCTATGAGCAGCACTGATGACGTTGGGCTGTGTTTGGCTAGCAGTGAAGCTACCACTGAACCAGCAGTTCCAGCACCAACTAAAATGCATAAAATATTCCTTACATTTGCACATACTAAAAACCTAATATGAAAATGTACAACGCTCACCCACTACGTAGTCGAAGACGTAACCGGATTGGGGAGTGAGCTCATTCGGTGTGCTGTCGCCAAACAACGGTACAAATACAAACCACAAAAATGCCAATAATGCGATGATGATAGCCCCAACAAACAGTATTTCTTTAGGCAAAAGAAATGCATGTGAATTAAACAAATATTTACATTCTGTTAGTCAATCTTTATACATACGCTGGAAATGCATTTTGAAAACAATAAAATTATGCACTTCTCTTGTCAGTTTCAATTTTATAACTAACTACAAAATACCAGACATAAGGACGGCAACCATTAGTACCAATAGATAAGCAGTGGTTGCGGAGAAAGAGCGGCAATAATCCAATTACGACAGCACGTCGCTTTCTTTATTGAACCGACAGCGAGCACACTTCATGATTCACTATTAGGGGGTGAAAACTATGGTATATTGAAATAATTCCTCAATTGGATGTAATGAACTCGACTCAAAATCACACCTTGCAATAAATATATACTACTACGTACGTATTTTTGTCAAAAGCTGTTTATAAATTAGCAGTAAATCATTTTTAATCAAACATAAGTCTTATATCTAACCCCCCGTAGCACACGTTGTTTCCTGTTTAGGCTTTCATCATCTCAATGTCCTCCATTGTTGCGCCTTCCTCTAGTTTCTTCTCCAATTCGCGTGCATCTACATAGGTGATTTCTTCTTCAGGTAGATC